ATGACTCGCACCAGGCATTCTTGGACCAAGAGCTTTGGCGTCACCACTAAGACTGTCGAAGCCACGTGCACTACCCCGGCCCACGTGGGCAAGCCTGACAAGCCTTGCGAGTACTCGCCCACCAAAGTTCACGCGGCGGCTATCGAGACACCTACCACCATCCCCAAGTTCCACCGCTGGGTTCGCAAGGGCGACCGCGAAGTCGACTATGAATGGGCGCGTGCCCGCGTCGAAGCCGCAAAGCAGAGACGTGCGGATAAGGCTGGACAGGTTCAGCGCCGCGCTCCTGATGCTCCCACGACAACTGTTACTTACGAGACTCCTGTCGCAGTACTCGCTACTGTGACTGCACCAGCTATCACCACAACTGAGAGTGTTCTTCTCACAGAGTCTGCTACAGAGACACTTCCTCCTCCTACTGTTCTTTCCGGCCTCCTCACCTCAACTACCACGCTGCCGACTCCCACTAAGACCAAGTCCAAGTTTGCCTTTACTACTACGACCGAGGTCATTACTTTCGGTCACGTATGGACTACAACAACGACGGTACTTCCTACCTCGTCAGTAAGCGCTTGCAAGAAGCACGGTGGGCATTTTTGGTGGATCTAGTGAACCATGTTGGTGCTAAATTCGGGCCGTTAACTATTTGATTTCTATTCTGCTGTTCTTCAAGCGCGCATTACATTTAATTACAGTGCACGGCACAAGATAGACGAATTCACGACTACTCTACACAATCGATGCTTCCAACGTTCTTGCCATTGCCGTGTTTGTGAACATGATCATAGCACCGATGCCTCCGCTTAGTCACAGGCGCCTTGCATCGTCAGCTCACCCGCGTCTTTTGAGCTGTTAACACGTCAAGTCACGACATGCACCTCGGTACACTCGGATCTGCTCCCTGCCATGCACGCAACAATGAGTCCGGCTCGCAAGGTAGAAGTCCAAGTAAACTTACTACGCCACGGCAACCGCCTTAACGCCCTGAGATAGGCGCTAACATGCTGACTCGTGCAGGCAAACCCCTGTTCATGTGGCTTTCTCACCTGCGGCCAGCACAATACCATACATGTGCAAGCACGCCTCTTCTCTCGACGTGACACGAACCAAAGTCCCGGCATAAAGCCACATCAATAGCCCCAGAGGTGGGAACACAAGGGTCGTGCAAGCCTCCGGCCGCATAGCGTGCCGCCGTGTCCACCATCTCACGCCGTATCGTGGCAAAACATCGAATCATGTGGGTCTACCATCGTTGAGGGCTCGGTGGGGTACACGCCCGCTAATTCGATCGCTCCAGGGTATGGATCTCCTCTCCGACGTCCGAACGCCTGGTGCTAGTGTGCGTGTCATAGCAGATAGCGAGAAGAGAATTTTGAAGCCTGGCCCCAAAGAAGAGATGAGCGGCACAGAGAGGGCAACAAGGGCGGTTTGTGGCAGATAGATGGCGATGGCAGAGGCACGGCAAGTGCGTGCCGTCTGACTGCTCATCGATGGAATCAGCACATTGCCGTGTTCCTGCTTTCCGCCCTCATCGCAGGTTGCACAGTCACCTCTCCGCGACCGACCAAGGCGGATGATGTGGCGTAAGCCTCACCGATGACATAATTCTGGCCTCCGGAGCGACAAGCGTAAGCCCAGCGACCGTATGTCTCAGCAGAATGCGGCGTGCAGAGGGCCAAGAAGAGTTTCAGCTTTTGGACCTCGTGTCGTGAGTCAAACCTGCCAGCGATGTCACAGTACCTCTCGTGTTTATCCCCGAGAAGGGCCAAAAAGCTTAACCTTTTCCTTGGGGCTGCAGCATAACAGACGGGTTATTTTTTTATTCATTCTTTCGCTACCAGAAAACAAGATCCTGCACGTGCATGGATCCTGCAGGCCTCAACAGCATGTTCACTTTCCCTCCTATCGTCCGATGCAGTCTCGCATGTGGGCGCAGCGGCTTACCTCCGATGACAAGCGAGTTGTCAACACTGATGCGCCCCGCAGTCAGTTCCAAGGTTTTCGCCATATACGAAACGTCCACTTTCCTGCTGAAAGCTCGCGATCACACATCGTATCATGGTGGAGCAGTGGGTTTCGAGACTTCGAGCTCCAGAGGCGTATTTTTAGCACGCCTTACATTGCTAGCGGTGCGGATCGGAACGACAACTGGAACCTTAACACGAGGATGGTAGCCAACTACCGCCTTGGTATTTGCAGCGTCGCGTTCCCATTGGGTGGGCCCAGGGGAACAGCTAAGCCTTCAACGGGTGGCCTCGCATCGTATTTTCGCCTTCGTTTTCTAGTTCTGGAACAGCTGGATGTGCTTTTTGAACTCCATGCTTGTAACTGCCTGGCTTACTCATTGTACCAAGCTTTTTGTCTTGACAGTTGCTTTTGCATACTTCGCGTGGCAAAGGGTCCATCAACCAAACTCCTATCGTGTCGGTACCGAAAAAACAGAAACGAAACCATTTTTGCTCCGGCAGTGGACTCGATTACCTAAAGCAACTTTCTCATCCGGGTTAGATCTGCGAAACGTCAAAAAATATTCCCGAGGCCAAGTACGGAAGCCAAGATGGCCGAAAGTTTCCGAGCCGGTGAACGTGGAGACCATGAAGACGGTTTGTACTGGGGAGTCAGCTAAGCTCAGTCCTGCGGTTTCTGTGGAGTATTGAGGCTCACAAGATGCGTCTATCAACTTTACTCTATCTGGAGGTGTAACGCGAAAGACGATGGTAGTGGAGTTGTGGAGTCGACAAAGCTTTTGTGGGTATGTGGAGTTGACTGTCAAGGCATCCCTGGTAGGCGCCTGGCAAAGAACTTCGGCATGTGTATAGTCAACATTTGACTTCGCTTGACCATGGCTGTGAAGGCACGTATTCATCAGCTTGGCACTGACAGACTTGCGAAATCGATAACGACAGGGTACTGTGCTGACTGAGTTCCGCAGCAAGGCTTCCTCACGCTTGACTCGTCGAGATATGCACTGGACCCCAGTTCAGTCATCAGCCACTCAGACCGAATGCTTACATGTCTACCCACTGATACGACAAGGCCTGACCCAACGGGTCGCGTTGACCTCTGCAATCACGAGCGTGGGCGTCTAGGCAGCACTGAGTCCAAGACACTGACCGACTCTTCTCTCGTGATGTGCAATGCTTCATCAAGCCACAACAATACTTCGCCATCGGTATCATCGCCCCGAAGTTGTATCACGCTGACTGCTGCCTCACTGATACCTGAATCGGATCATGGGCACTCGTGTCGGAGAGTCATTGCTCCACCTGGCGTCCTCGAAGAAAGGCAATGCTAACACGAGTATGCAAGCTCAGCAACATCGCTCACAGCCGCATGACACGGTACTTCAACGAGCACCAGATAGCCAGGCACCACGGGGCCGTCCATGTCCTCGACCGGAACCTGCGCCAGTACTCAACTCATCACTTACGTCCGTACCATCGCCATCATCGAGGCGCCCATACTCAAAATATGCACGTAGTCACAACTCTAAGAGTATCTCGCACACCTTAGCACCTGAATCTCACCACCCACACCCATACTAACATATGCACATATTTTATAACTCTGATAGCATACCGATAACTTTATTACCTATACCTCCGCCTATGTCCTCCATAGCGCCCCCACAGACCCCAAGCTCAAAACCCAAATCCAGACCCCCATAACAAACCCGCCATCGCAATCTCAACCGTAGACGCCAAAATCCACCGTAGAACTAGAACTAATCCACGTGCTCAACACCCGCAATAGTATGTATGGCAATCTCCCGTCGCATTCGCTTCTCACATTAGGACCGCACTTCGGTGACTACTCCGCCAGTTCACCATGCTCCGCGACTCTCCCACACCCGTGCGCCTCCGCAAGGCTTGCAGACCCAGACCCAGACGCCAAAAACCTCAGCATTGAGCCTCAACCGCACCGTCTCTGCCAGAGTAGTCTAATGATTAGATTAGCCGCAGATTTTCATGAATCAAGGTTCGGAAAAGCGTACATGTAGCGCCGAGAGTAGCGCCGCTGAGGCGACTATCGAGTCAAGCGTTCTGGCGTCGTTGATGGTATCGAACTCTAAATTGCCACGGCCACGTGCGACGGAGCGGGCTAGGGAAAGTTTGTTTGATGCGAGACTGGCTACCCGCGCGATGGAATATGGTGGTGTGGAATGGTAGTGGGAGTTTGGCGGTGGGCGGCCATGTGGAAGCCACGGCGGTTAGGATAGTGTGCGAGCTATTGTGTGTGGAGGGGGTCGGCGAATGAAGGTGGCGTGTCAAACGCCGAGGAGGGGGGAGGGGGGTTTCTGGGGGCAGTATGTCCGAGTAGGGGGTAAGGGTGTGCGAAGACTTGAGGAGATGGAACGTACTGATGCAGTCGAACGATAGCGATGTTCTAGTATGTAGTCCTCAATATCTTCACAACTTGTTGTATTCCTATCTAGACATACAGCTGCAATTCACATGTCCCAAACACCCTTTGCGAACCCTCCTACCACACCACCTACATCCTGTCCGCTACAAGCTGTCGCATGCGTACAGCAGGACCATCACATGGCTCCCGGCAACGTCGTGTCCCCTCGCACACAGCACTCACGCACCCTGCATTTCCGACACGGCGCACCAAAGATAGCATCCTCGATCCCTCTTAGCCAAAAAACACGCATGCTGCAGGGTCCCAACAAGTCTCGGAAGCGCCATCATGCAGGGAATGCGTGATGGTTGCGAGGGAGGTGGTACATGTACACTAGGAATGGCTGGGCGAGAATGGATATCCCGAATTGATGCAGGCCAAGCGTTTGTACGAGGGTTGAGGCTCTGCTCGCCCGATCGAAGAGTCTGTGGGCGGCGATGCGGGATAGGTGGTTTTGTCCTTGCTCGGGATGGGATGGTTGTGTGAGAGATATGATGGCTTTGGTGGTCCGAAGGCTTTGATCGTGTCGTATGATGTCGAGGACGATGATGAATGGAAGGCGAAGGCGTTGCGTTCATCGCGTGCTCCAGCCCAACTCAACCCTCCATCTCCCAGACCAGCGTCTCCCGCCCTTCAAACTGCATCACCGTCCACGCATGCTTGCCCCCAAAAGCCTGCGCGCTCATTGCGAACCAATCTGCCTCTTCGCCGTGCATCCCATCCCCTCCTTCCATATCCACATCCACATCCATATCTTGCGTCCCATTAACCTTCTTCTCTCTCTTCTTAAACCCCTCCTTTCTCACCATCAGAAAAAGATCGCGCATAAAAGCCGGTCCCATGAAGCCCCTCCACCGAACCGTAACCATACCCCTCTCCCCAACGCCTCGACCCAGATCAGGAACTTCGTAGCGTGACAAATGCGGGTTTATATCATCGCCCACCTCGACCCTTGGAGAGCCCAACTGAAGCATGTGAATCCACTCCAGCAGCCCCATCGCCTCATCCTCATCATAAACATCCTTCAGCCCCGCAACACTCACCCTAGGCACGCGCACCCCACCCAACCTCCTCTCCTCAGGCAGAACATCGCACACCCACGGCGCATGCTTCTCAATCAACTCCCTGCCCTCCCCCAGCGCCTCCCTCGACGTCGGACTCGCATTATAAAACAACCACGTCAGACTCTTATCCAGCACATTCCTCGCCGCCCACTCCAACCTCCCAAACCCTTTTTTCCCATGTTTCATACTGCTCTCACGTAAATCGTATTCAACAACCCACCGCTGTTTTTGGTGTTTCCTTCCCCCGTCTTCCACGGGTACACCCTGCAACCCGCAGCGCTCGTACGACGGGCGCGTAAGCTCCATGCGCAACACACCGTTATACAGCTCGAATCGATCGTCCAACAAGGCTCGTCCTTCGCTCAGCATCATAATGTTGCCTTGTTTGATATACGTGTTCAGGAAGTCGGCTTCGAGGATTTCGGAGAGTGACATGTGGACGCGCGCGTATTGGGTAAGGGCGGGGCTGTCGGCGCGGTGGAATTCGTTCTTGACGAGCTCGTACATTTCTTCGGGCAGGATGAGGTCGACAGTGTGGCTGTATTTCTGCGCAGAGAAGGCGGAGAAGGGTTTCTTTTTCGTGGAGACATTTTGCGGGTCGATGTAGCTGGGGAGGAGGCTGTGGGAGAAGAAGATTTTCGTGTCGGGGGCGGAGGAGGGGCGGTGGATGTCGAGCATCGTGAGGTATTAGGAGGGAAGCGCGCGCGCAAGAGTGGGTGTGAAGGAGTAGTGGTGGTGTGGTGGTGGTGGAGCTGCGCGAAAGGTGCGGGCCGAACTTTTGTCGCGTGGGGTTTCGGCAAGACGCGTTGCGCGGGCCTATGACGCATGGGCTGGCGCGTTGACATGTGAGCGGCCATTTGTAGTCTCGCGGACATCATTTTTTAATCTTGAGTATATTTGCGTTACTATGCGTCTCTGATCTAATTAGACTACATCCGTGACTGATGTGTACGGGCAAGTTTTGCGCATGAGCATGAACAGGCACCTACGCACGAGAGCGCATATGATGTAGGCATTGAAATACATTTGCACCACGATAAGGTCGAGCAAGTCATGTTAGGGAACAAAAATAGTTGCCAATGTATTCGAAGCGGCAAGTGAGGCGTGCATTAGTAGGATGCTGACACGAAACGTAGAGAAGAGTCATTCCGAAGATATGTGCAATCTTGACACAGTAGTCTGTTACAAAAGAACCCAATGTACATGAACCATTGATGTATTGTGTAGAGCCCATAAGAAATCCGCAGATGAGAGATCTACAATGTGCGTGCTGGGGGATGACAGATGTACTGACCCCACCGTATTCTCGGGGTCTGGAAGGCGGAAGGAAATGCGACATGTGTGCGTAAGGAGAAGTATGTTTTCAGTAAACGCGTTTACTATTGTTGCGGTAGGAGAAGGGTATTGATAGAGGTATGCGTCAGAGATATTATCGTCTATTCATGAAGATCGTGTTGAACGTCTCGTAGACCGCGTCTTCGCAATCAAGCGGACAGCAGCTTTCTGAACCGGTCGCGGCTTGCCGATATGATGCCCCAGTCTGAATCTGGTGATAGCGCAGATAGAGCACGGTTTGCCGAATTGCTCCTTACGGGCATTGTGGAATTCTCGAGTACGGTAGAGTTGTAGGGCCAGCGCTTCCACGTCAACGCGCAAGACCCATACTGAGCCGGGATTGCCTCTGATGTGGTGAGAGGCGAGAACAGTGGCGGCGGAGATGTGGTATTGCATCTGCACTTCATCGACTGTCTATGGGTCTTTGTTAGCTTGTGCGATCAGAAATGGAGAGAGCCAATGGGATAAACGCACCAAGGTCTGACGGTAGAAGCACCCTTCACAAGCCGTAATGATACGTTTGACAAGTGGAAACGGATAGGTGTCTAATGCCACAAAACAATAGATACACCTCCGAGGGGCATGTTGCAGCCATAGTCGTCGATATACGATATGACTCATATCTGGATGAACGGCACCGTACCTGTCCAGCTGAGCGAATGGCAGATTGAATATGTTGCATTGTCGAACGAGATGCGAGCAGTACCCCTCAACGAATTCATTGCATCTTCTGGATGTGCGCGACAGGGCATTGAAAGGATGTGGAAGTACATGAAGAGAGAAGATATCTGCAGCCCAGCGATGACTGTCTGCACCTTGGGTCAAGTCTTCTTCGTCCTTGATGCTCCGCTTCTGCTTCTCCGATACGTCGTATCTACTCTGAGTCTCAGTGAGACCCGGCAGCCGACAGCATGGGTGGATGAGGTAGGACAGTATCTGGTCAACGATCTCGACAGGCAGCGTTTCCAACTTGCTCAACTTGACGTGGGAAGATGAAGGTGTGACGTTGCTGTATTGCAGTGGATTGGGCAATGCGACTGCCCCGCGGTGACGAATTTTAGACGAGGCTGGAATTGGATGTGGTGGTACAGGATTCTCGTGACTGTCAACCAGCAACCGTCCAGTAGTAGGAAGCGAAGAAGGGACCAGCCCTGAGGCGACGGTATTCATTGAGGCCATGAAGAGGAGAAATAATGAGCGACAGAATGGAAACGAGCAGACTCTTCACCTTGCTTATAGAACAGGCTGTGAACCTTATACAGGACAAAGGTCAAAAAGTGACGAGTAGAAGCATGCAGGACAGCGGAGCTTCCCACCAACGAGGGGAGAAGTGTGCAGAAAGCTGCATTGCTGCTGCTGTGATTCGTCTAGTGGTCGAGAATCCCGGGCAGCTGTGTAGCAGTGTGCAGCTCATGCACATATTTTCGATACTGCATACTGATATATGCTGAGACTGGCGAAGAAGAAGACGACAAGTCGTAGTGCATGTGCACCCAAGTAGTCCGGGTGGATATCAGACTAGCAAACCGATGCGGCCATCTCCGCCCGGCCCCTTATCGCCTAGCGTCATGTATCATCAACTTACCCGACGGACCACCTTTCGCTCTGTCTGAGACTCGTAACACTGGCCGACAGCGAGAAGCGCGGGAGACAACACCATGGCTGCCCATCCCGACGAGGGACCCGCCGTCGCCCAGCACCCCGCTCCGCCCCCCGCTGGCGCTATCAAGGCTGACCCAGGAGCGGGAGGCGCAACCAAGCCCCGAAACGAGGACGCGCCCGCGCCTGCGCCCGATCAGGACGAAGAGGATGGCGGCGCGTGGGACCAGGCCTCCCTGTACGAGGAGATTCTAGACGAAGTGGAAGCCTTTGAGTACTCGGACGATGGTGAGTCTGGCCAGCATGCGCCTTCCACTTCCACCACCATTGACACCCCATAGGCGTAGACACGTGCACCGCCGACGAGGCCCGCCGCCTGCGCCAGCGGCTCCATGAGATTGGCGCCAGCGCATTTGTCATGGAGAACATCACGAGCGAGAAGATGACGGCGCGCAAGCTGTGCACTGCCTTTGGCGTCAAGATCCCCAAGTTTCTCGAAGAAGCGCCCGACGAGAGCTTCTACCAGCTGCTTGGGCTGGCCATCAACCGCGAGCTGAACAAGCGGCCGCGGCTGGCCCAGTACAAGACCATCGACGACGCTGCGAAGCTGCTGCGCGAACGCAAGAACATCATGGTCATCACGGGCGCCGGCATATCGACGAGTCTTGGCATACCCGACTTCCGCTCCAAGAATACAGGTTTCTACTCACGGCTGCGCGAGATGGGCTACGACGAGCCCGAGGAGGTCTTTGACATCCACAACTTCGACGAGAACCCCCGCACCTTCTACGCGCTCGCCGGCGACATCATACCCGATCTTGAAAAGTGGACGCCCACGCACGAGTTCATCCGGCTGCTGCAGGATAAGGAGAAGCTGCTTACCAACTACACACAGAACATTGACAATGTGGAGGCACACGCGGGCATACGCAAGGAGAAGCTCATCCAGTGCCACGGCTCCTGGGCGACGGCAACATGTCGGAAGTGCAAGTTCAAGGTCCCCGGCGAAGACATCTTCGACTGTGTGCGCGCGCAAAAGCCCGCCGAGTGCAAGCGCTGCAAAGACGAAATCGCCGCCCAGCCCAGCAAGAAGCGCAAGCGAACCTCGAACGGCAATGGCGCACGCAAGAAGCGCTCGAGCGACGAAGACTCAGAGTCCGACGGCGCCTTCGACATCCCGCAGCCCGGCATCATGAAACCCGACATCACCTTCTTCGGCGAAGCCCTGCCCAACGATTTCTTCGACCGCCTCAAAGACGTGGACAAAGACAAAGTCGACCTCGTCATCGTCATGGGCACCTCGATGAAAGTCGCCCCCGTATCCGAAATACCAAACTTCCTCCCCCGGGACATACCGCAGATCTACATCTCGCGCGATCCCATCCACCACATCAATTTCGATATCAACCTGCTTGGCGACTGCGACGTCGTGGTTGCGGAGTTGGCGCGCAGGGCGGGGTGGACGCTGGAACACAAGATGATACCCGAGGGGCAGACCACCGAGGTGGAATTGACGGATGAGGTGGATCATATTTCTACGGTCAAGGTCCATGTTCCTGTCATGACTACGACGAATGGTCATATCAACGAGCAGGCTTGAGCTTAACAGCCTACGACAGACGGCATGGCGTTTGAGCATACATAACAAATGGCGTTGTGAAGGGTGTTTATATGGATATCGGTTTCGGCCGCATGGACGGCGACCCCGTAGGATGGGCTCATGATTCACAATATGGAGTTTCTCGTAGGCTTAGGGCGTTTGTGGTATGGATACGAGAGGAGAGGGATGAAGTGGCGGCATCAGAGATACCATGCAAAGACCCCACCTTTACATTGGGGGAGCATAAGCTGCAGTCTCCATGTGATTACATTTGCTTTTCCTTTCAGAGCTGCATATAGATTCCCTTTCGAAAAATTCGATCCAATGACAACTTGAACTCAGATGAATTTTTCCACGTCATCCTCAGCATCATGGCGATTGAACAAGGGCCAATTCGTCAGCAGCGTGGAATTCCGTAGAGCGATAACAAGTGAATTTAAAAGATGTGAGCTTCCCAGGTTGTAATGTTACTCTCGCACGAGACATGACGCAGTCCGAGGTAGCACCGTGCGGCGTGGGCTTCGTGCTAGCCCTCACACGCCTCCCCCTTGCTGAACATCCACTATCAACCTCACCCCATCTCGACATTGCGGCACTTCCATGATGGCACATCAGCAGGGAACCTTGCGAAGTCGACAAGGCCGTCGCAGCATAGCGAACGCGCTGCTCTCCCCAACGTCATCGGACCCCTCCATCCACACCTACAGACGACCGCGAACACCTCTATATCACGATATGCGGCGGTGAAGCTACACGGCCGGTACTCGTTACAACAAAGCCGACGATGGCATTTAAGAAGTCTGCGAAGCCTGCGGAGCCTGCAGAGCCTGCACAGCGATTCTGTATTGCTTTACGCCGTAGACTGCAGAGACAATACCGGCGATCAGGCCTAGCGGGTTGTCAGCTTCACGCACCCGACACATCCACCTAGTGGACAGAGCTCATGGAGATGCATACTGAGGAATCCGAAGAGGGCTGTCAAGAATAATCCCAAGGCAGCTATGGCAAGGGTGTTCCTGTCACGCGCATGCCTATCGAACCATGCCACGATGCTGTTTGCTGCTGGCGGATTCTTTACTATGCTCAACAACGTTACCAAACGATCGCCCAAGTATTTATACTCAAACTCCTCTGGCAACTGACGGACACGGCCCTCGTGGAGCTTAGCTTGCGGATCGAAATCGTATTTGTCGATGAAATTGTCGAGCGACTGAATTGACCGCTTGTCGTTCGGGAAGAGAAGATATTGTATAGAGTCGAGGACTTCCAACAAGAGCTGTGGTGGCAAAGTGCCTCTGCACAGTGTGAGCGCTGCAAAAAGACGCGCGTGTTGGGATGAGTTACTTCTCTAGACTTTCTCGAAACCCCATGTCAACGTCCTCGTCACGCGAGCGGTAGAGGTGCGCTTTCAGGAAACCAACCTGACGAAACACGTGAAGGATGCCACGTCCTGAATCATATACGAGGTGTTCGGCCAGGTTGTCGGTCGGTCGCAGCCTCACTCTGTACCGTTCCTTCAATTTCCAAGCTTTCAGCCTGCGTCGCTGTGCCAGGGCGCTCTGGCTCTCTTGGCGGACTTTCCGGCTCTGGACAGGTGGGGGGAAGCAGCGCTTGACGAATTTGGCGAAAGGTTGCTGCTCTCCCCAACATCGAGGAACGAAGTCGCCCACCTTGCGACCTTCTGGCAAGTATTGCTTAGAGGCACAATCAATCATTATTGATGCCTGTAGCAAGACTCGTACTGCGTGCTCCCGCGCCTCGGTACTAACATCCGCGGCAAAAAGGCCACTGAAATTTGCCTTACTTTGCGACGCATCGCGGGTCAGGCTGTCGAAGAATGAGACCACCTCTCCGTGACTCGAATACGCCGGCTTCGCAACATTGACCACACAATCGCCGGACGATCCTTTGAATAGCATCGAGTAGTAGCTGAAAAACATCGCATACCTCCCCGGTTCCTCCGCAGCGTCGTCACTGAGGAATCTGTCCGCAATGACTTTCTTTTCGGCTTGCGTTGGCGGCTCCATGCTGACCTGAATACCACATCCAAACTGCATCAGAAGCTGCCCACCTTATACATCTGAACCTTTTGCCCTGTCTGCCTGACAACACACTATGCATCTGGGTGCTCTGCCAGTCTGTCAGGGGCTGTGTTGAACGCCATCACCTATCAGCTGATGCGTGACCCCTGCTCTTCGACGTCATAAGACTACACCCGGCTGTCCGCCAGGCTTGCTTGCGACGGCACGCTGCGCCATCCCATCATCTACCGTTCTCCTGCATGCATTCGGTGGATTGGTGCCTTTGGATGCGCTCGAATCACAGCCTCATCTCATTAGCGACCTTTCCCCCGTGCCAGACTCCGCGCAGACTACGGGCGGACTCTTCAAAGTTGTACAAGAACCCGAGTTGAATACCGTACGTCTTCTCACAAGGAAGCTCTCGTACATGTGGCGATGGCTACATCAACCTCGCTCTCACCAGGCTCGTCTGCGAGGACATCTATGTCGGCACCTGGGCAGCATAGGCAAGCTCTTTAACTACTATCACAGGTCAAATAGGGCTCTGCTGATGAGAACAGGGCCTCTACACCAGACACCACACTTATGCCGATCACGCGTGCTCCTCCACTACCCCCTCATAATCAAGCTCCATACACAACTGGAGCTCGAGTCGATCATCCCTCACCTGCGGTCGCGTTCTCATCGATGGGTCCGCCCCCTACCCCGCCTCCTAACCAAATTGCCCATCCGCCCCCGGCCGATCCTCTCAGAGACCCCAAACCGCTCTTGGGATGCAAGCTTCAGTCAACTGTATATGAGTACAAGCATTGCCCACGCAGCGCTCAACATTGCGCTGCTGCTCTGCATGTGCTGGATAGCTTTGGAAATGCCATGTATAATACAAAGCAAAGCTGGATGACGAAGACACTGAGGAAAGCAAGACTTTGCGACTTCGCTGGATTGATAACCTTCACATTCGCGATGTGCGGAATTGCAAGTGCACCACCGGAACCTTCCATTATAGTGTCGTGCCCAAACAAACTACTTCGTCGGGTAGAGAGAGAACTGCAAAGTCGCCATATGAAGAATCAGTACGCTGTCGGCGTTACATCCGGTCCCGCATTCACACTTTACTATTGCGGCAGAGATGATCCTGCGTTCAGATTAAGATGGTGCATGAGCACTGTCTCTCTCACCGGGCCTGAGCAGTCTCTCTCTCTATGCGGAACCCGCATGTCGTCTGCCCAACACACTCGCTCTCCATATTCAGGCGAAGCAACAATAGCGTGTCTCCTCGAAATCAAAGGCGACCTATATGCTCTCGGTCCAGCCCATCTTTTCACGGAGAAGACTGCCGCCAAGTCTCAAGAGCAGCTGCTAGTCGAGCTGCTACAAATGGACGAAGATGATGATGATGACATCGCTTTCGACGACCACGACGATGAAAGCGATGAGGGCTATGTTTCAACCAATGGCGTCACATCTGAGGAAGATACAATCAACAGTAACACCACACTACCCAGTGATCCTTCCCCTCCATTATCAAAGGTCGTCGACGATCCAAGTAACGACGAAGGAGCCCTCGAAAATCTGACAATAATATATCCTGGCCCAGAAGACCTCCACAAAGATAATACGGACGGTGATTGGGCGGTCACACATATCCAGAAGCATCACCAACAGCTACCGAATCTGTACCTGTCTGAGGGACAGAAAGCTTCTAGGCTTCGACACATTGTAGACGTCTACAGCGAGCCTTCAGGAGACGACACACAACTCATGTCCGAAAAATCTGTTCATATACTCACTTCCTCGTCGACAAAACATGGCATGCTCCTCCCAGGATATGCGAACATATCTGGCCTAAGCGGACGCGGATATTGCAACGTACATATTGTGTCGATGACTGGCTCTGATGGTAACTATTCTCCTCAGGCTAGGCTTATTTAATTGGCTAACTTCATCCTACAGGTATCGAGGCGGGCGACTCAGGGTCTCTGGTTGTTGATGCTCAAACTTCCGTGGCGTATGGACATGTCGTGGCTACGAGTCCCCAAGGCGATGCATATGTCGTGCCTCTCTACACAACGATTCGCCAGCTAAAGGCATTCTTCGAGACCGCCAACGTCCGTTTGCCCGAACCTCTACATCTGTTGTCGCAGATTGCATTACACTACGTTACCACGAAGCAGTTCAGTCAAGCTGAAGAAGCTATCAACGCGTTGACCCATCTTGTGCAGAATGTTTGCAGTTCGCATCAGTGGGAGCGATTGGCATACTGGATCAAGACTTCCACGGCACGAACCAGCCTACTGAATATTTGGGATGAGAGGCTGGTGCAAGTATTTGTGAGTCTACCTCAGCCAATATCTATAGAATCACATCTAACAAAGTCACAGCCCGACAGTCTTGAGAATCGTGGTGCTAAAAAGTGGCTGACGGCGACGTATGCTTTTCGGGAGCGGTTCCGAGCGGAGAACCTCAGTGTGCATGAGTACCGTTTTCGGCCTCATCACAGGTCCTTCAATGACTTTGCGTCAGCAGTACTCCCGCAGTTGTTGGAGGAAGCTAACGCGCCCTACAACACGGCCTCGCGGATGTGTCGACATACTCACGATGGCGTTTACGTGGTCAGCTTGCTTCTAGTCTACAACCATGGCAATGGATATTCCAATTCCGGCTTCATCACCACGATCATCTGCGGATTATTATCGCTACTAGAGGATACCTCCCTCAATCGATATGCACGCAGGTCTGAGCTACCTCGCCGACTTCAATTTGCGAGATACCCTACTGGGCTGCAATACCTAACAATGACCTCTCCGGCATTCGACATACATACATGCTTGATGGTGGCGTGCTCAAGAGCCAGCCTGCAGTGCACCAAATCTATGCAGTTCAATGAGCGGCTTAGATATCTTGAGCCGCTTGTCAAAGGTGGGCTCGCATCTGTATACCGTGCGACTCCATGGCGTGCAGATGTAGACGGGAAGCGCATGTTTGCGGTGAAGAAAATGTTGAAAAGTACCACCACGATTCTCCGATGGTTGAACGAAGAGAGGATTCTCAAGAAACTCCAGACATTCAACGACCCGCATATCGTCGAACTACTGGACTCCTATTGTACCTTGGATAGCTACGTACTCGTTTTCCCACTTGCGAACAGCAACATCGATGGGCTCATGGAGCGTGATCTCTCTTCTTCCAACATTGAGCCTACGGCGGCCTGGGTGGTGGGACAGATGGCGGGCTTGGTCAACGCGCTCCAATACCTTCACACTGGAGACGACAAGAGTAAATCGTATGGGAGACATGGCGACATAAAGCCCGAGAATATCTTATGGTATGCCACTGGCGAGGAAGGGCCGCCTTTTTCAGGAATACTGAAAATCACCGATTTCGGGCGCTCCGAATTTTCTTCAATGAGTCGAAGACGACTGAGCATTCACAAGGCTCTTTATGAAGGGGAACCCCCTTGTTACCTTGGTCCTTCAGGGCGTCAATATGCTGCTCCTGAATCCGAGATCTCTACAAGCGACCGTTCTGTTCGATCAGCATCCTCTGACATCTTCAGTCTTGGCTGTGTATATCTGGAAATGGTTGTTTGGCTTATTATGGGCACAGAGGCAAGAACACGATTGCACCAAAGCTTACGCTCTGACGTTCCGGGACGTGGAACGTCTTTCTGGCATCTGGACGTAACAGCACATGAGCTTTCGTTCATCCTGAAGCCTCCGATCGAAGAGTATCTAAAGAGGCTATTGGAACTTACGAAAGATAACGCAACTTTAAGGGATACTGTCTACCTTCTCGTTTACGGTGGTGCATTAGATCCGAGTCCTCACAAGCGTCCGACGGCAAAGAAAATGGGTGAACAAATCATTGCCTATAAGACGGGAAACTCACAGGCTTCAGCAGAACTCATTGAAAGTCCTGTGTGGACACGAGTTTGGATCCACCCATACAACTTCAGTTCGCAATCTCGTCGGCCGTGGGAACAGCAGGACACTTCGCCCACGTTGGTCTGCGAGACACTATGTCTTCATTATACCGACATGGCGAACGACGAAGCACTCCACGAAAAAGAGGCCCTGAAGGATTCAGAGCAATTTGAGGACACAGATGACGAATCGCAGCCAGCTGAATGCAACGGCGATCTAGACTGCGGCAGTGACCGCGTCCTCGGTCCGAAGCGACAATGCCCTTACTGCACTCTCGAAGCTCGTCCTGCTGCTCTCAAAGCTCATGTCAGGGCTGTCCACCGCAATCGCCAACTTCATGAATGTCCACAGTGTAATGAGTTATTCAAAGACACGAAGCATCTCACGCAGCATCAACGACAGCTAGGACCTGTGTGTGCAAGCGCCTCGATCTTTGATGGAGAAGACATGTTCAGTAGGGAGCAGCTACCCTCACGGCAGCTGACCCGGACTGATAGCGCAACATGTTTACGTGACCAGTATGTTCTAGGCGACAATTCTTCCGGTCGATCGCGTACGATTGAAACTGAATACCTTCCCCAAATGCGCAGCGGTGGAGCGGTGTCTAGTCATCATCACAACGATGCCGGCGGATCTTATGTGAGGTATTGACGTCTGGACTATTTCTTTCCTTTCTCAGATGATATCCAGTCGAATTTTAAAGATTTCGCTCTGCTTGGCCATCAAAGCAGGAGGTGTTGCCTGCTCTTCATGGGTGGTTATGTCTTGTAGAGAATTTCAATGGGCTCTATTTCCTCCCATACCGTTTTATGGCTGTAGCAGGGATTTCTCAATCTGCTCGGACTTGGTGGCCAAAGCATATATGACGAAATTAGTGCCTTGTCATGATGCTCAAATACTGTTGTTCCAGCTCTACGCATCATGCTACAACTAGTTAGACCACGCGTCGCAGGTCAAGTGTAGGGGAACAATGAAAGCCAAAAATATCATGAATACAAGAACTCGAATATCATAAACATCATCATCGTCTCAGTCGCGGCTTTTGTGTGGTATGTTTTGAGTCTACCGACCGCCATCTGACGTCACTGTCTTTTCCATTCTCCATATACTCAATGCTTCATTTCACGTCTCTTCCTTTCCTCATCAAGGCAAAAAGTCCATTTTCACGCACGTGTCCAGTCTTGCTCATTCCATTGTTCGCATTCGACGTCACTGATGTTACGTCACAAGGCTCGCAAACGCTACGCACTCCCGATTCTACTCCCCATCACTGTCGATCTACAGAAGTTTCCTTTGCCGTGTTGCCGCTGTTCTCACTTTGTAAGCTAATCAGGACGTCGTCGTTGTAATGCGCGCTTTTGGTCCGTGCTTCTTGTTGTTTTCGCGCTCCCAGAGCCGCCTTCACTTGCGCCTTCACCTCACCAGATCAGGCCATATCACACGCCTAGAACGTTCGCCAGGCAACAATATGCTCACAGAATACGTCAGTCACCTGGTATTCGGACGCGCTAGCGCCGACTGCGGGTAATCTGCCGGCTCACCCTCTGTCTATATAAAACCCCATCCCCCCGCCTCTCTCCCTCTTACTCCCCACTCGCTCACTCCCCACAACTCAAGTTTGCTATCCCCAACAACAGTACTATGGCCGCATTCTTCCAAGTAAGTACTTCCTTTCCTTCCCTTCACTTCATTTCAGTCTTGGCTAACATTTTCAGACATCGGCCTTTACTCATGATGTATGACATCATCCATCAACAATCATCATGAGTAACAACATCATCAACCCTTCCTCAATCGACTGTCGACAGTCAACATGACTTCACTTCACTTCCAACTTTCAGCCTCGCCTTCAACATCACTGCCTCGCATGCCTCACACCCACCCGCCTCGGTCCAACCTACCTACCTCACTTCGATTCGACCTTCATCTACCTTGACACCCACATCACCTTCGGTCTATCCCACTACCACATCGAACTCGCATCGTCTTACTACATCGGCTCATCGCCTTTACTTCCGACATGCACCACCCCCGACGGCACCGCGGCACAGGCACCAACCTCTCTGGCACCGGCTCGATTCTCCTTTGACTGTCGACAGTCTCACGCCACTCCCGATCGTATGCGCGTCGCGAAAGTCAAGTTGTGGCACAGGGATGCAGGCCAGGCTGCATGGTTGGCCCTTGAGTTGGTAGCGGTTTGGATCAGAAGGACTGGCAAGAGCGGAGGATCAGTGGTGTTGGGTTCAGTCACTGTCACTGTTGGACACTTTCACATTGGATGTTGATGCCATCTCGAGAGTGCCTCGAGACAACAAGGTTGGAGGATAGACGGTCAATGGCGCTTGCGCTACACTGGGCCTCTTGTTGTTCTCTTGGGTGTCTTCGGACCCCAGGATGGTTGATCATCTTATTTGAACCAGATGGCGGCTTCTTCGGAAGTTCAGGTCAATTCTGGTGATGATAGTGGAGTGTCGGCATGTTCGACGAGCACTGTTCTTGACATCGCTGCTGGTGAGCCCTGGTTTGGTGGATGGTTGGACTTGATGGACTTGGTGGTGGTGGTTGGATAGTGCAAGGATTTGGTGGTGTTTGGATGTCTTCTGGGTTGGCTGGATGGAACATGGACTTCTTGTATGGGTTTCAACTTCAGGATTTCAACGGTGGTGGTGGTTTAGCTTAGCTGGCATTCTTGGGTCCTCAAATCAACCAACTTTGCCATTACATCTTGTTCACTTCTTGACTTCTTACTTGTTTGACTTCTTAACTTCTTGACTTCTTACCTTCTTGCCTTTATATCTTCTACCCTATACATTCTACATCGCCTTTCCTCTAACACATTCCACAGGCTTTGTAAACAAAACCTCCTAAGAATGTAGCATACCTCGACATCAAAGTTTAAAGAAGATGTTGTAATATATATCTCAGGCAAAGACGTGCGCAACTCTATGTATCAATCTCTTATATCTCTCTCAACCTCACTTAAGTAGCATTCTTCTGTGGAGAAAGAGAGCATAAGCGCTACATTGCAGGTAAACAGGGCGCACATGTGCAAAGCAGGAGATATATGCCAGGCAACCAATGTGCGCATTGCACCTTCTGCCATGACTTCTCCCTTCCACCTCGCTAGTCCAGAATCACGATCTCTCTCTCCTTTCTTCTTCCTCGCCGCCCTCTCACACAAGCCATATAATCCGCATCCCGCGCTACCAACCCACCCATCCCTATCGCCCTCCACTCCTCCTCCAACGCCTTCTCTGCATACGCTATCCTACCCTCTTCCGAGCGCATACTACCCGGTATCTTCTTCTTTTCCTTCTCCTTCCCCAGCACCTCCCCATCCCCATTGCGCGACGGGTCCGAGCACACATACCACCCCACAGTGGGCTCGTACGTGATACCCAAATGTTTAACAATACGGTCGTGTTTCGCGCGGCGATTGCGCATATAGCTTTCGTCGCGCGCTGCGTCGCCGAGCTGGGATCGTATGTGTGCGGCGCGGGCGCGAACATCGGGGGCGGATAGCATGATGCATGCGGCGCCCATGATCGGGTATGGTGCTGTTACCAAAGGAGGGAGATCGAGGTATAATGGCGACGGGGTAAACAGGTCAAGTTTAGAGAGCTGTGTGGATTGCATGGCTTGTGTCATTGTCTGGCCGGCATATCAGCACTATCACACATACATGAAGGGGCGTTTCCAGTCCCTGGGGTGTACATACCATCTTCTCATACTCCTTCTTATCGCACCCCAGGCAACATGCCACGCTCTTGTAGAGACACGCTTTCCGCTGTGTCTTTTTCTTGCAGAAGTAACACATGTCGCCCAGCCATTTTCGACGGCACGTGTATATGCGCGTATTCTTCGGTAGGACGATGTCGGCGTGGCGTTTGAGGAGGTTGCGCGCGTATTCTTCGACGATGGCGTTGAGATGCTTGTTTGTTGCGGCGAGGGTGTTGAGCGGGTAGGTGGAGAGGGTGGGGTTGAGGTTTGGCTCCGTGTAGGAGAGGATGGTGAAAAGGATTTCGGGTGGGAGACTGGTGAGGTCTGGCATCTTGGGTGGTGTTGTTGCGCGATGACTTGGGGAGTTTCTGGTGTTGCAACGACATCACTCCCGGCGTTTAGGCGGCGGGGTTAAGCTAGTCGTGTCGCGCGATGATGCGCGTCATGAAGCGCGTTTCTATCACCTCACCACGACTGTCGATATTCAAGAGCTATTTGCGGAGGAAGCAGGCAGTTCAGCATGTATTTATGATTACTTTCGCCCTCTTGTAGGCCATCCACGCAGATCTGCCATGTAGGCATGCCTGAGGCACACCGGAGCATGTCCGAAAGCCACCCTCTCACACGTACGGTCGGACCCTCCTAGATATCGCATACCACTACCTCGGCGAAGACTGGTGATTGGATTCCACTGAGACCATGTGAAGATGAAGAAGTTGTTGATGGATAGATGAGAAGATCATTGAAGCCAGTAAGTTCCGTTGCCGGCTCCACCTCCTACCGATTTCGTCCTTCTGTTGAATTGCTTAGAACTTACCCTCATGAACTTCACGTGCTGATTGACGCCAGTTACCAATTACTTCAGATCGATACGCTCACTTATGTCGCACACATATACCTCTCAGCCCACCCGACGATCACCCGTACGAGATTTAGTGCCGCACAGGAGCTTGGACACATAACAAGAGTGTGCTCGAAGAGACGAGACTCTTAGCGAGTCTAACCGTACTCGTATAGCCTTACCCGCTGGCTGCTGTTATGGGACAAGGCGGCTTTGGGCTGCCTCATATAAGAACGACGACGCGCTATGGCTAACTAGGCAAGAATCAGTGCTCGTATCAAGATGAGTGAGATTACGTGAAGGAACAGAATATCCAATCAAGGTTTTGTGCAGTCGTATTGTTAATGTTGTATGTAAGGAGTTCCGTCTCAGGCACGCACGTCGGCAAAGATAGGCGGAAGGCATGCCTCCAGCTTACTAGCCAGCCCGCGGTATTGGAAGCGAAGCCCTACAGTCTGGTCAATGCGGCTCAACGTCTGGAGTACAGGAGCCGAATGGGCTACTGGCAACTAGTTCGATGGCAGGGCAGAAGACCGCCGCTTTATCCTCCATATACCCTGTTATAACCCTCTCAGCTCGTACAGCGGAGAGCCACACGGCCATGCCATCCCACGCAACAGCCAATCCAGACACGAGTTACATCATTCGCGGGATGGAGGCATATACCCTCTTCACCACGTTGATGGTCGGGATTGGTAAAGGTGCTCTTCCCGGTCTCTGGCTCTCCATTGGCTCATCTCATCTTCAGCCCTGGTGCCACGAGATATGATTAACATGCATCCTGCATCCATGATTGGATCTGCTCAGCCTGAGGAACGGTCTCATCGTCGGCCCACAGAACCTTGTGGGCCTTGGGTGGGCCAACCGAGTAGTCACAGAAGGAAGGCTAGCTACCAAACTGTCGGAACTGCACGGAGCCTCCCTTTCGGCTCGGCTCATCGTCCTTCGACAGACACTGCCGCGTTTCAAGAGGGCTTTGCTAGGCGTAGGAGACATTTTTGAGCCAGTGGACCGTCGAGGTGTGTGACAAGAAGCGGTAAGTTCCTGAGTGCCCGACCAATCAGATAGACCGCCCAGCCTCAAATCCGCCTACGCCCTTCGCATGCGCGGATTGCTCATGTGCGCGAAGAGCTGTCTCGATTCGATTTGCCACATATCGGTAGCTACGCGACGTGAGAAGGGCCGACTCCCTTCCTCGAGAACCTATGCCTCCACCCTAGCGTTCCCGCGGGACGAGACCCGCTGGCTATCGTGAGTCAGAAGCAAGTGGTTTGATTGAACAAGTCCTCGAGAACAAATACCAGAAATTGCGTGTAACACGCCCCTTCTGGACGCGGCCCGCATGCTTCGGGGGCACAGGGCACAGGGTGCCGGGGGGTGCCTGAGGCAACCAGATTCGTGGTGGATTGGAGTGAATACCTAACAGAAGGACTCCACTGGACGTGTCCTCGTCTTCTTAAACTGTCTTCGTGCCCGCCGTCACTCTCTCACTCCCGCCTTTCACGCTCACACTCCAAGTGACCATTAGACTCTTTTATCATTCATCTTTATCTAACATCGAACTGACCAGCCACGCATCAGGTGACTGGACCAAAAGTCATCCACGTCTCACACGCCCCTGTACCTGATCGCATCCTTCAGCCGCAATCTCTCGATCTAGGCTATCCCTTCCCTTCCTTGACTCCGCTTCCAGTAGTCACTCGCTACACACAACGTCTTCACGCACCCTACTAGTCCACCCAAGACAAGATGAGCGGATCACAGCGTCGCTCTGGCGGTAGCTCCAACGGGTCAGACCGTAACGGCGGTGGCGGTCGTAGCAGCAGTTCTCGTGGTCACTCATACACGAACGTAAGACTGTTTCATTGCATGCGTTGAACCTCGTCGCTAACGAGACGCAGTCTACCTCGGGAGGAGGCGCATCTACTCCATCTACACAAAGCAACGGCTACGATCCACGGAACGATTCCGTATACGCACAAGTGCAACGCTCATCATGGTCCCACCACTCGTATCCCAACGGCGCGGGAAGCAACCAAGCTTCATACACGGCGCCTCCGCCTCCAAGACCCCAAGTTCAACAACCTCGCGCCTACACCGGTCCATATCAGTTTGAGATAGGTCACTCGTCCACTCATCTGGACGTGCCCCTTCACCAAACTTCCGCGAGTGACTTTTACTCGTCGCCGAGACCTCACGCGTCTTCGTCGGCAGACCGCCGTGCGCAGCCGGACCGAGGACAGCACCAGTACCAGCCCACCAGTGGCGGTGCTCACCCGTCTCAAGCTGTAGGCCGAAGCTCTGGGCCTTATGACGCTGTCGGCTACATCAGACGCGATGGAGCGGTTTACGACCAGGATGAGGTGTATGAGGAATACAGGCCATATGGGCAACAACAATATAACGGAAGTAACGGAACATCACGTTGAATGACAACACGAGGTTACGATATAGGATGAGAGAAGATTTGGTTTCCTTATATTTATGTTCATGTTTGTTGAGGGCGATTGGGGGCCGACCGGCTGAGGTTGCAGCCCCAGGCGCCTGTCTTTTCGGCAGTCATCTTTGGGTTCACCTCAGCCTACTGTCCCAGCACTTAGTGTATTATTTCTCACGCATGATGATGTTAGAGGATTTTCCGTCCAGCCTCGTTGGTTAGTGGGCTTTCTTGCCTTCAGCTGGCGACTACCCTTCCGACTAGACTGTCTGGCACAGTCGTTGTCTCATTGTACTTGTACACGATTTTTTGTAGCGCGTTAGCAGGCAGGTAGTTTTGGAGTCTGGTATGCAATCTCAAATTTAAAGCTTCTCGAAATCAACTTCGATCTCTGCTCTTACCGCTGTGGATGTGTCGGTGTTCTTCCACACCCATCTCCATTCCGAACGACTTCCGAGCCTCGGTTGAGCCGCATTCTGCTCACGAAGTCGTCCGCCCGTGAAGTTGACACGTTCACCACTCACCGGTATGCCGATCTCGATTTCTCGCAACATCGCTTACACTCACCGGAATTTAGTCGCCGAGAAGGACTCGGTGACCGGAAACGCATGCATGAGGATAGTGAGACATGCTGCTGATCTAGATTTGGAGGCAATAACAGGAGATGAGGACCGCCATGTGTTGGAGCTCTGGTAGCCAGTCGGTCCTTGGAGGACTCCTGCGCTTATGCATTGAAGTATCCAGTCCTCCGTGAAGGCGTCGATGGGACGCGCGTGCAGAGGTTGAGGACTCGTCCAGCTCATCTCACGGTTGGTTTGAGTTTGTCGCGATTGACCAAGTATGTGTGAGTCCGTAGATATTTGTGTCGTTGTTCTGCATGGTGGCGATCTTACTGCAGGGCTCGCCTTTGCTATAGCTGCGGAGCATTTGTCTAATCTGTCGGTAGGTGAGTGCTTTACCTTCTGCATGCATTGTTCCTACCGATCAGAAGCAATGAAGCGGTGCAAGTGGCGCCTAAGAGGGAGGCATGCCACGCAGCCAGCAAAGTGGGGGACACCACCGTAAGCCGAATCAAGCTTCGATGCGGCTATGAGGCTACAAGGCAACCGGACCCGACTACATGAAGGGCACACTTGTCATGGGCGCTTAATGCCAGTCGGAGAGAGCGTCGTGTGGTGCGAGTCACCAGTCGTTGGCACTTTGAGAGGCGCGCACGAAGGGCACGGCGAAGGGCACGGTGAATGCTTCGATGCGGGTGATACGGTTGGAGGACGGTCCGCTTGAACGGGGCGTAAGCTGCAGACCCCGTCCCAATTGATGCGGCTCTAGTTGGAGTTGAACCTGCTACAGCAGGGTCTTGCCTGTTAGAAATCTGTCAGATGCATACGCTATACGGTAGGCCGGACCCATTTCCGGGTCGAAGGTGCGATTGCATCAATGGATTGATTGGTCTTGACGTGCGATATCGAGGTCGAGAAACCTGGCGGTCAGATCCGAAATTCTCGCATGCTTATCGCGCATTGTGCCTGCACAAAGACATTGTATGACGAAATTGGTTGCTGCGGCCGTTGGCTCCGGCTGACTCGACCTCGGGAGCGAGATGAGATGGAGCGGGAAGTGACGTGATCTTGGCAAGCGATTGGCACGGAACGCATCGCACTAGCGCGCGTCAAAACGTGTCCCATGTTCCCCCGCTTTTGACGTGCCAAGGTTGGAACGTCGTAGCAAAAGAGCTCTCGCGATCTCGTCTTCAATTCGGCATCTTTTGCGAGCTTTGCTTCACCTTTCGGTTTGGAGGACTTTGCGCGCTAAGAGTGTGCAGTCGGGCAGCAATGGATGGCGTCTGGAGGCCGCCCGCGACACGCGTAAGATACCACCCTGGCATTGCCTAGATATCGTTAGGGCTGGAGCTCGATTTGGGTTGGCTCTCCTGCATGCGGATGGGGGAATCGCTACCGTGCAAGTAGATGCATACCGCACTGATCGCTCTAGCACTTGTCATGGGCTGCAACTGGAGGGGGAACGCTCGTGCCGTCTGCCTCTTTCTAGCTGA